CGAGAGAACCTTTCTTCATCTGCTGTCCACCTCTGTTCCTGCATACTATGATTTCTGCTAGCCGCACGCAAAGTTTTGAAAATACCTGACAAGTGTTCTCCTTGAAAGCGCAGGCCATTAGCGTTCCAACGGTGTCGTTGAGCAAAGCAACAACATCTATGTCTATATCCTAAACGAGAACATACAAGGCCTTCACTTATGGACTTTGAAGGTGACACATGAATGATTTTTGCAGTTCAGAGACCTCATTGTTCGGGTAATGTTCGATGGTACGGGATCCCCAAAACGGGTTACGTTTACAGTTACGCAGCGAGGACGACGGATGGAGATCTGAGAAACACTCCTTGTGGTGTGCCAAAAACATCCTGTGGTGGGCCAAAAACATCCTACCTATATGAAAGCGCTACGTCTGTTTGTGTGCGTTTGTCGCGAAATTTGGCATTACCTGAACGACCACCTCAAGAGCCCGGGTTAAGGTTGGGATGGGTGGAGATGGGTCTAGCATTACAAAACACATATAAGTGGCGAAGCCTCGTCCACAGTGGGCGGGGCGGGAGCCAAATTGGGCGGAGCCGATGACTGAAAGTTTCGGCTTTGGCTCCAGAACAGCCCTAAGATAAGGGAAATTTAAGTAAAGGTGTCTGAGTTGCTGAGCTCCCACTGAGAAGGGGGGGGGTAGATGGGACCACGGTAGATGGGGCCTTTCTGAGTGGGCGGTGCTCAAAAAATTTACAACTCGCTTGGAGAATGCCTGCAGAACAGAGAAAATGGTGTAGGGAAGCAGTATCAAAGGTGTTCCCGGCATAGTTGGCTGAGCGGGAGCCCGCTCACTAGGGCAGGACGTGTCCCGAGTGGGCAGTGTTCCTTAAAATCCTCATAATCAAGGTTCAGTGTCCTAGAACACGGAGAAAAAAGTGAAGTGAGGTCAGGAGGAGGGGAGATCAAATGCTGATGGCGGATGAGGTGAACAGTGCTTGGCACGAAACATTACAACAAGAACCCAGAGAACAGCACCAAACAAAATAGTAGGGTTCTAACTTGGCCCGAGACCGGAGAGCAAAGTGGAGAAAGGTTGACGAGGAAGGGAGATCAGACATTAATGGGTGGGCCATACACCAACTGGGCGGGTTCGCTATCAATCTTATAATTTGGTCCACAGAAGTCCCAGAAACCGGGGAAAAATGGATACAGATTGGCGAAGAGAAGGAGGTCAAACGCTATCGGTGAGTAAAGCATGCAACGAAGCGGAAGGATTTTGCCACGAAGCATTACACAGGTATCGATAGCCCTGTTTTATAGAACTGCAGTCGCGGATAGACGCGTATTGCGTAGCAAAACTAGTATGTTAAGGTCTTCAGATAGTTCTGGTCTTTAGACACTGGGCTAATATTGCAGTACTTAATGGCAGCCATGATAAAAAGTACGTAGGAACAAGTACTAAGTATTTATTATATGTCGAATAGAATATTGCCTCGAACGGGCTTCAGTACTAAGATGAGAAAAGTGCCAGTACAAGAATGAATGGCTACTCACAGAACGCCTGCCACAAGCTTCTTTCAGCATTTTGCACACATCCATTCCTTCGCAACCGGTCACAGCGAAACCCTTGGTCCAACGAATAAGTTTGGCACTGGAATTGTCGATGACATTTGGCTAGAACGGCAACACCAGGTGGGTCAGCGTCCGGACAGACTAGGAAATTCTGCCCTTCCATGAGCGATTTCGTTTACAGAGGGACTATCCCACTCGATTTCGCTATGAAGGAGGCGGACGTTGCATCCGGCTCAGACCACACGGTTTGCTTTTTTCAATGCTAACAAACCTTGTGAGTCCTTCCTGTTGACAAGGAAAGGAGAACGTGAAACCGAGAGGCAGCTTTCGTGAGAACGGTATGCCTTGCTCTTCCATGAAGCGCGCCATGCACTCGGCGATGTGGTCAAAAAGCTGCAAATTGGTAACTTATAGGATGTCCGTTCAAAAAATGAGGGAGCTGTTTTTTTAGCATGAGCATGACTGGCAGGGGTGTGAGTATGTAATCGTGAACATCCAAAAAAGACCAATCTCCTGAGCTCCGAAGAGGGTACAGAACCGATCTTGGACATCAATTGGGAAAGCATGGGAAGAGTGGAGGACTATATTTTGGGACAGTAGCAGCGACTATGATGTGGACCATGTAGTAATGGCACAAGGATCACAAATGGAACGTAAGGAATTCACTGGAACCCTCTGTGGTCGAAGGCACTCCGCAGGGAATGCCCACAGAGGTGTACTGAATAGTGATAAGGTTCGCAATTCCCTACGGCACCGATTTCTGGCTGATTAGGGGAACTATGAGAGAAAACTTCACTCCGTTGAAATGGGTATTCTAGATGGGCAAGCGCCTGAACACTCCTGAACGGGGTTGGAGCAGAAGTCCAGGACGAAGAGGTTAGATCGGTCATGCAGACTGTCCCAGTCCAGCAGAGCTTGAAACCAGCGATTGTGTGATGGTATGGGACCGTGTGTAGATGGCTACAGGATCACTCCATAAATTCTGAAGAAGAACTGGAAAGACTTGTCATAGAGACTCCACCAAAGCCAAGGTATGGGATGCCCCGAATAGGAGGAAGTGGCGTACCTGATAAAGAAATGTGACGACGCAGGATTATCGCTAAGAAGAAAAAAAGAAAGACTTTACCACAGCTTTGGTCATCAACTGCGCTCGTATGCGATTCATTCAGAACAAATTGTTAGAATACACTTTTCTGCTTACTCAGTAACGAGCAAGCACATCCACAACTGGGCTTCTTCAGTTGATAGGTGGACCTACTTTTGCACCTTCTACAGTCAGATCTGATGCAACCTACATAAGTGCAACCGACCTCTTCTGCAGTAGCCTGCATGATACGGTCTGGAACACTGTAAACTTTTCCCGGTCATTTCGGCCTCTCTTCCGTTAAGCCGTATGAGAAGGATGCGAAAATTAGTTCCACCGAGATCCAAAACTAGGTAATCTCCGCTTTCTTCACCATTCGGTATTGCTCGAACATACGTTGGTAGCATCTTCAGGGCACCCTGTTCGCCTGAAAAGAGCATAACATCATATGTACTGACGTCAGTATTAAGATGTCCTGCAAGGAAAAACCGGGTATCCGTCTGGAAGCTGGGGGAAAGAGAGAGAAAGAAATTTGATGTTTCACATTCCAATAGATCAAAGACCTTTATGATAGCCTTCTACCCCGACGACATCAGAAGATTTTCATAGGGAACCCGATGCTCGGAGCTCAACGGGGTCGTCGAGGTACCATAGACCATTACGACGTCTCTGAAACGCTGGTCAAAAGCGGTTTTGCATAGTCACAGCTAGTGTCTCTGGAAGCTATTCACCAGTTAACCGATTGAAGAAATTATGTAGCAGCTTCAGGCCGGAGCGATTACGGTAGCCTCCTTGAGCTCGGCAGATGACGTCATATTCTGAAGACGGTGAGGGCAGTGAAGGAGGGCCTGCTTCTGCTTATGGGGGACACCTAAGGAATATTCTGCCGTAAAACTTTCATTAACAGCGGCATCCTTTGCGACGAAAAGTTTGATGATGTGCGCCATAGGCAAAGTGACCCTTTTTCGACCCCTAGTAGGACGTTTTTCCATGGTATGGTAGTTTCTCCGATCTCAAGTCTTCCACATGATATGAGCGAAGCTGCTTCCTACGGTCTTCCTCAGAATCAGAACTTATACAGGGAATGGGCTAAA